GAGGCATCCAAATTCAACGGCTTCCTGCCATGTGGAAAAAACAACTGTCGTCGGAGACGTGATAGCACAAGCGGCGGGAGCTGCAGGTCCTGCAGCCGCAAGCAAGGAGGCGGAGGAAGCCGTGCAGAGCACTCAACACCATGCATCATTGCAAACTGCGACACAAACCCAGAGGACATGAGATGTTGAATCATGTACGGTGCAGGAGTCCATGAGGTCCGCGAGGTCAATCCAACAGCGGCATGATTCGTGCTGGCATTCAACCCCGTAACGCCCGCTGCGGCTGTATCACCGTCCATTCCGCTCATCCCGTGGTGTGCATCCATCCCACTGCCATAGTCCCCTGCACAGTTGGTCGCCGCACGTCGTGGCACATCACGCTCTGGAATGATGTCATTGGGCCCGGACTCCATCACCAACTGCCACAGTGACTTTTGAGGCGGGGCCGGCGGAGCAATGTCGTTGGAGGCACGCACGAACTCCGGGAAGACAAAGTCCATGCTCCCTTCCCCTTCCGCCACCACAAATACACGCGCTCAATTGCCCTTCTGTCTATTTCAACTTCTCGGGTCTCTCCCACAGACACACTCCTCTATACCTGCGGTGTTTAGGGACTAAAGAGGGCGATGGTCAAAAAGGGGGGCAAAAATAAAATAAAATAATGAAATCACCCCATGTTGTTTGTGATCCCTCGCGTTCTGAGATGTTGCACAACGTCCCATTTCCACCAACACCGCCAGCAATGACATGCCCAGCTCAAATGGGACAACAGTATAAAAAATATAAAAGAATTTTCATAATTATTTCTAATGCCACCTTCGTTTTCTTCTACCAGTACTCCTTCAAAGTGCTCACACGCCGTAAGCAAAAACGAATAGTCCCTCGTTTTCCTTTTCCATATCTCACTCACGCATGCATAAATAAAACAAACTACATATAAGTGTGTGCGTGTACCTGTCGTTTACTCCGCAGAGCGCTGCAGGCATGGCTGCGTATCACCCTGGCGCAGCTTCACTCCGTCGTCCAAGGGCGTCTGATGGCGCACACTGATAATCTTAAGCGCACTATCCGCTATCCTATCCACAGGCTCCCTGCTCACACTCACCTCACCACGCTCAGGGTACTCCACCAGAGTAAACATGAGCGCCGAGTCATCGAGGGCACCGTCGTTAAATACGATGGCATGCAGCAGCTTCGTTGTCACGTCATTGAAAGGGACTCCAAGAAGGTTCATGTCCTCCAGAACCCGCATTGACAGGCGGTGGGCATACGGATTGCATTCACCGCACACACGAAGAATATTCGCCAGGTCATTGAAAATGGCGGTATCAAAGGCAGTCTTACCAATACCTTTAATGAACTCCTGGCACTCCTGCATTTGCTTCTGCACCTTTGCAAGCTCCGCCTTCTGCTTGTCAAGGTGATCCTGCTTGAAGGCGGAGAGGCCACGCTTCAGGTCGTCTTTGATATGAAAGTTCTTCAGCTCATAAACGGTGTACTCCTGGTGCGCCAGGCGAGCGGGCAGCATAACCTCCTCATAAAACGTCACAAGTTCCGTGACGCTTTTCCACGCGGTGTTTTTAAACTTCTCCTTTGCGCCGGCAACAGGCGTACGCGCGGCAGCAGCAGCAGCCTTCGCCGTTTTCACTTCTGCCTCAATCTTTGTGACGTCCTCCTCCGCGCCCAAAGTGGCAATCAACGGGGCGAAACGCACGCGTGCGAGGTCAACCTCCGTGAAGAGAATCTCCGCCGGCCTGTGCAGCTGCTCGAGGATGGCGGCAGGAACATTAAACACCTGCGACACCTCCTCCTTCGTCACAGGCGTGCCTAACTTCGCTGACGACTTTGCCAGCGGAACTTTGCGCATGACAGCAGCGGATGCAACAAAACGAAGCAAAAGGCTGCTGCCACCGCTCACAGTGGGAATAAAACGACGCATGAAGTCTGCCAATAAATCCTTCTTCTAACCAACAGGAAGCCCGCAAAAAAAGGAAAAAAAAAAAGAAAGGAACTCAGAAGAGACTGTGCAGTCAGCGGGAAGCCACCACCATTGGCAATGAAATCCCGCAGTTCCCAGCCAAAAATAAACACAGTGAGAAAAATATATATATATAAGACACACCGCAACAAAACACCGCATCGAATATTCGCCTGCGCCATTGGCCTTATATATTACACTACAAAATAGGACGGGAAAGAAAGAGGGTAAATGGAAAGAAAGTGACCCCGCCACTTCCTCTCCGTTTGCTCCACATAAATATATATAGGTGTAAATATTTCTTCCGGATGGCCAACATCGTGGGCCGGTGCACTCTATTCGGGGTAGAGGCATATCGATCAATTGCAAATTGCTCGAGTTTGAGGTCCCCTCCAGCCCATCGGCGCTGCCCCGCCGCAAGGTGGAAATCAACTGAAGACTGAATGGGACAGTAAGAAAAATAAAAATAAAATAAAAAAAGCATCATAAAAACATTTTGTCTTATCAATACCCGTTCCCGGGATGCCTTCCATCTTGGTCCCTCAAAGAAACCATATACAATAGAAGTGAATCGTACAGAGATAGAGTCGTCTTAACAGGACATGTATTATTAATTCACGTGACCAGCTTTCCTCGCAAATATTCTTTTCATAAGCTCCTATAAATCACTCAATTGTCTTGACACGTCCACGGAACTCCTCCAGAGTCTTGTACCCCTTCCGTGCCATGATCTCCAGCAACTCATCTTCAAGACGCGTAAAAATGCCGGGGCCCTCCTCCTGCAGTGCAGTTCCCACTTGCACCATCGACGCACCGGCAAGTATATGCAAGAAGGCATCCTCGCCGCTGTAAACGCCGCCGCAGCCAAAGACCAACTTATCCGGACAACGGCGGTAGAATGCATTCACGTTCGCCAGCGCTGTAGGGAGGATATACTTGCCGCCAATACCACCAAACCCTTGTTTGGGTTTGATGACAACAGACTCACTCTCCGCATCAATAACAAGGCCGTTGCCGACACTGTTCACACACGTCACAAACTTGACAAGTGGGAACTCATTCAAGACAGCAGCAGCCGTATCAAAGTGTGCAATATCAAAGTACGGCGGCATCTTCACCCCAAAGGGCAATCCGTATGCCAACGACACCTGCTGCAAGTAAGTGCGCATCGCCTCAAAGTCATAGGCCACCTGCGGTTTGCCGGGCACATTCGGGCAGGAAAGATTCAACTCCAACAATACACCTTTTTCCTGCGCCACAGGGGCAAGGCGGCGCACCATCGCCACATTCTCCTCCACGGAAAGACCTGAAATGGAGAGAAAAAGCGGCTTCTTGCTGTAATCGTGCAGATCGATGGCGTATTTCAAATAGAAATCAAAGCCCAGGTTAGGCAGCCCCATAGAATTGATGCTCCCAAGTGGAACGGCCATGTAACGCGGCTCGGGGTTACCATCGCGAGGTGCACTCGTGCAGCTCTTCGACACAAGTGCGCCGCTGGAGGAGGCTGTCATGCAGCGCAGGTCTTCCTCGGTGCTGCAGAGAACACCCGCGGCGTTCATGAAGGGGTTGGCGAACACATGGTCGAGGAGGTTGAGTTTCAGACGCATCATCTTCTGCGTAGCGTACACCCTGACAAGGGGAAAAAAGACAACAAAAAAAAACACCACCACAACAACAACACCGCAGTTCAATCAGCCGCTCCGTGGGAACAAAAAAAAAAAGATATATAGAGAGAGGCCATGGCAACAGAATTCAAGTTTCATCCCCCACCTCCCGGTTCCACGCCACTCTTTGCTTTTCATCCTCCGTCCCAAACTACATCGAATCCTCTCGCACCCTCCACTCACACATGTCTCCTTGAGGCAAAATCCCTCACCACCCACCCCAAGCACACGTGCATATATATATATATATAATAAAAGAAAAATAGAAAATAACAACAAATGGGCAAAGGAAGCCCTTATTGTTATTGTTGTTGTTCCGACCATATATTTCCGTGACTGTTCCTGTGTAACTGTAAAAATGCCAATTGGTTAATTTGAAACGGTCATTGTTATGCCCGTCAATAGCCCTACACATTTCGTTCGTTTTATTTTTGTCATATATGTGTTTTGGGTGGTTGTGGTTTAAACCTTCGGCTGCGTTTTGCGTTCGATCACACACTCTCTCAGTTTTTTATTTTTCTTTTTTTTTTCTCCTATTTGGCTGTTGTTGTTGTTTTATTCGTAACGAAACAAAAAAAAAAAAGAAGGAACAGTCACACATCAAATAGCCATGGCGTTAGTTAAACCATCTTCCCCCGCGGCACACAAGAGTGCACAAATCCCCTCCCATACATTTCCCCACCTCCTTCACGCCAAAACGCTCCACAAAATGGCCATGCGCATAAACATGCCGTACCGCATTTGTCTAAAGTAGGCAGCACGTGGGTCTGTGTCAACGGTAGTGCTTAACTCGTCATTGCGCGGCAGCGGATGCATAACAATCATTTTTTCCTTCGCCAGCCTCATACGTGCCGCGTCGATGGTGATGTCGGCTTTCGCCGCCGCAAATGACTGCAACGCCGCCGCATCATCGCTCGTGGAAGCCATAAACCGTTCCTTCTGCAGACGCGTTGTGTACAACACATCACTCGTTTGCATGACCTCATCTGTCAGTGCGTGTGTGCGGTGAATTATCACTCCCTTCGTGGCGATCTCGTGTTGCAGGGATTCCAGCACATCCTGCGGCATCTGCAGTGCGTCCGGGGCGACAAGAAACACACATTTAATAGAAAAGTTGCGCACAAGAAGCTTAAAAAGAGAGTGCACCGTTCGCCCCATCTTCAGGTCTCCGATCAGCGCGATGGTGATGCCGTCTACGCTGCCCAATTCCGAATGAATCGTCAGCGTGTCCAGAAGCGCCTGCGTTGGGTGTTCGCCAGCCCCATTGCCCGCATTCAGAATGGGATGCTGCGCCACGGAGAGGGCCTCTTCAATCGCGTCCTGCCTTGGATGCCGCATCACCAGCACGTCGCTGTAGGCGTCCACTGTGCGAATGGTGTCGGCGAGGGTCTCGCCCTTGTTGATGGATGACGCCTCGACCTTAAAGTTCACCACGCTCCCACCAAGTCGAATCATCGCGGCACAAAAGGAACTGAAGGTGCGAGAGGAATCCTCAAAAAAAAGTGGCGTCATGATGCGGCCCTGCAGGAGATTCACCACCTCGCCCGCATCAATCTTACGCTGCATGGCGCTTGCAAGATGAATCAGCGCGTAGATATCCGCACGACTGAACTGCTCGGCACTTGTGATGCTTTTGCCCTTCAGGCTCGTTACTGGCGGCAGTTCCAACATGGGCACCAACAAATATGCCTTCACCCTCTACTTATTTATATGTGTATGCGCAATAGATCTCTCTTCTTTTTACGACTAAAAAGGAGTGGAGAAAAGAATTCCTTCATACGCCCGAAACCACAAAGCATAAACACTAAATACCTCCCTCCTCTCCCTTAACGCACAGTGGCAGCACACACACACCCACAAAACAAAACAAAACAAAACAGAAAAAACACGGCGGCAGGGTGTGGCTGTGTGTGTGGCGCTGCGGGTGTCTGCCAGCCCTGGCCGCAAAGAAAACAAAACAAGAGGGAAAGAAATGTGTGCTCCGCCCCACAGGCCCTCGTCGCACGCCCACACGTCACGGCTCCCTCAGCGCGCCGTTCGTCGCGGCCCCTCCTCATGCGTGCAGCAGGCGAGACGCACAGGGCCGTCGTCATGAGCGTGTCGGTGGGTGTGCGAGTGGAGCAGTTGGGCGGGAAACACACGGCACCCCTCGCAGGAAGAGTGCAGCAACAAACAATTAAAAAGTAAAAAAGAAAAACCGTCCATAGTGATTGCCCCTCAAAAAGCAAAAAAAAAGAAGATGTGGGGGAGCAAAATAATGAAACAGACGAAAATTAATAACGGAAAAAAAAGATTTTAAAAGGACACACACTCGCACACACGCGCAACACGCAAAAAAAAATATGAATTACAAACAGAAAGCAAGAAAAGAAAATTATCTTAAGGATAAAGTTAGTTCCAGGAAAATTAATTCCGTGCAGGGGAGGTCGCAAGTGCCCCACGCGGCAGCCAGTCACACCTCACAGAGCCGCGAACCCCCACAGTCCCAACAGGAGAAGCAACGATGGCAACAGTCCGCTCCCACACACACTGCAGGCATCGCTGTTATTCCCCTGCGACACATTCCCGAGATTGCTGCTGAGGGCCGCAGCCTTTACGTCCGCGTTCTGTGCTTGGATCTCCTTCTCCTGCTCATCCGTTCCTTCTTCTCTTGTCTCCACCGTTGGGTCACCGTCGGACAAGGAAGCGCCACCCACATTTTCACTTCCATCGGAAGATTCTTCTGAAACCATCTGCATTACGGACTCTTCTCCTGCTGAGGAAGTCGTGGCACTGGACACTGTTGGTGCGGATACACCACCTGCACCGCTGCTCCCCAACAACTGTCCCTGTTCCTCCGGTCGTCCACCAGAAGATGGCTGAATCGCTTCTCCTTCAACAGGCCTTTCCACCTCAACTGGAATATTGGCTTTATTCGGGTTGAAGGCGCCAATCTCAGTGTCATCCCACGGGCGGTTGTACAGCAGGACGTTCCTCACAGTCACAGACACGTCTCCTCGGCTTTCTTGGTCGTCTGCGCTGCCTCCATCCCCTCCAATGTAGAAGTGGGAGATCTCATTCGACTCACCACTTCCCAATTCACATTGTGCATTCCCCACTCGCTGACCATCAACGTACGCGGTGCACTGGGTGACGTTCCGTAGCAAAATTACCACGTGTTGCGTTGTATCTGTCTTCCCAATGCTGCCGAGCTCCGTAGGGTCTCCATCACCGCGCAGCACCTGCCACTTCTTTCCGCTGTTGTACGACAACTCAATAAGTTTGCTTCCTCCTTTACTGCCCGCACGCACACCCACCACTGGAATATTACTTATCGGCTCACCGTCGATGGACACCGTCGCCACAAGAGTGAAGTTGTAGTTCGCAAAGTGGTACAGCTGATTCTCCCCCTGCTTGCCAACGGGCCACTCCGCCCCTGCGCCACGCCCCGTGAACGTCACGCCATTGGAGGGCCCTGTGGCCGCTGCTGCCCCAGCTTTATTATTTACTGTGGCGTTCACCCCGAGATACTCGTCCATCCATGTGCCATCAGAAAAATTACCGGACAAAAAGCCAACCAGCCCATCCGTGACCTCAACAGCGCTGCAGGCAGTGTCAGTTGAGCGATCCTCCTGAGCAATTAATGACGTGCACAGCAGGGAGACACGGCCGTCCACTTCCTTCCAGGTCGCCAGCACCTTCTTCACACGCTTCAGCTGCTCAGTCAGAAGCACGGAGACCATACCGGGTGATGTTTTCTCACTGCCCTTCTTCTTCTCGTACAGTGCAATCAACTCCTCCTTCTTATTATCACCTGTACCACTTTTGTACAAAAGAGAGCTGGCGGCAACCTCCTCGTCCCCATCATCGGATACCGAACCAATATCAACAATGTGCGTGTTGTCCGTCAGCCAAAGATGAAGTTCACCCTTTTCATTGCCGTCCTTCTCAGAATACACCGGCAGAGTAACGAGCATCACCTTCCTTTCATCAATCTCCGCTGTGGTGAACCCGCTTCTAACGGCCTTCGCTTTTCCCTCGTGTTTGTTGCCCCACACGCGCGAGAGTGTCCCGAGTGCCTCCGTCCACGACTCCCCCTTGTCACCGGACTCGTACACCCTGCGGCGGCCACCAGCACACGCAGTCATCATCATGAGTTTTGTGTCCTTCCACTCCACGACGGAGGGATCACTGCAGCCATCGGCAGACATCCCCTTCGACAGCTTCCAATTCGCACTGTCCGAGGAGTATATAATCAGCGAAACGTTGTTATTCTTTGCATCGTTTTCTGCCACGTCCTTCTTCTTCACGGCTTCCAACGGGAACACAAGCGTACCGTCATTCATCTTAACACCCGATCCACCGCCGCCAATGTATCCCGTCAAGGAGACGTCATGTTCGCCAATAGTATTGCACGGGATACTGACAGTATCATTCCAAAGAATTCTTTTTTCATTGTCCCCAGCACTGACGTTCCCTTTCACCAGCAAAAGTCCCAATTGAGCCGCAACACTCCTCAGACAACCTTTACTGTCGTACTTTCCAGCAAGCATGTAAATATCACTTCCCTTCACAGCAGTTGTTGGTCGGCCCACAAATAATCTCGTCTGGCTTCCGGAACCTTCCAGGACTACTGTTTGGGAGGGGCATTTGCCTTCTTCGGAAGAACATTCCTCCAGTACCTGTGTCTTTACTTGAGTTGTCTCAAGGGCTTTTGGGTTTCTATCGTCGAACTTCATGAATTGTGAAGCAATGCAAGGAAGAGTGGCGCCATCCTTTCCGCACTGCGCCTCGGCAACGGCAAACACCTCACCATTCATCTCAACAAGACTGGGAACACGGAGCAAACTCACTTTCTCTCCATCTTTCACATCTCTCCAAACAAAATGTTTCCCCGATGAAGAGCCCAGGTCCGACTCCTGCACCTCATCCGCAGTCACAGCCCCAACACTGCCGCCGAAAGCAATGACAACGAGGAGAACAAAATGGAAGAGATGCCGGGAAATGTTGGGCCCCTGCGGCTCACTCTCTCCTCCTTCCTTCCTCCTCCCGCTGGATCCGGTCACGCCGCGACGGTTGTGTGTGCGGGGTGCCTCCACTGCAGCAACACGTGAGAGCATATAAGTATGTGTGTGTGGGCGGTGTGTGTGCTGTTGGTCCTTTCAGTGCCTTGCAATTTCACAGTAGCGATTAGCGCTTGTTATTAACTTCTTTCCTTTGTGTGTGAGTACGAGAGAAAAAAGGAAAAAGGGAGTGAAACAGTGAACACCGCCACCCATCCACAGTGAGTGGCATCATCATCCCCGCCGCAGTCACTCTCAACAACAACTCACGCACACAGACACACGGAACGAGATGGAAGAACAGTGCAACGGGAACACACAGCGACTGCCACCAGCAGCAGCAGGAGCCACAGCGGGTACGTCGTTATTCACGCGTCAGCACACACCGAGCAACGTTCACGCACAAAACAAACAACGGGAGGCAAAAGAGCACATCCGCTCTTCACAGCACACACGCGCTGCCAACAGTCGTATTACTCCTGTCCCTTCCAACGCACCCGCACATCGCCCCGCACAGCCAGAGAATCCTCCGTCGGTGTATGAACAGCGGGAGGAACACGTCAGACCGTGCAGCTGCGGCGCTGAAGCCTATCCGCAATAATACCAGACACCAAAACGCCACGCCACTCAATGGCTGAATGCCGCCAACATAACAGCCGCAGCACGGCAAAAAAACAAATCGCGGTCATCCGTCATCCCTCCTCGCAAGGGCAGCCGCAGCAGGAATCGTGTACGTGCGTGCGTCCTCAGCGTTCACGCCGCCCCACAGCGTGCGCAACATGGCGTGTGCATCTGCTCGTGCGTTTGTCAGCGTGTACACTTGCAGAGCTGCTGTGCGCCACAAGAGAGTCTGAAGAAAGCAACGGCAGAGAGAGGCAGATAGCACACACGCAAATTACTCATATCATCACATACACACACACGCAGCCGCGGAATGAGTGCACTCAACCACAAAACAATGAAAAACAAAACAAAAAGCCGAAGCGTGGGACGACCAGCGCACACACTCTCTCATTGCCCCCGTAAAGCAAAACACACACACAGAGGGAGAGAGAGAGAGGTCGCCCACTCAATGCAATAAAAACAAAACAGAAACAGTTACGGTGCTCCGCCCATGCAACCAGGCAGGACGGCAGCGGTGCGTGTCGTGCAAAAGAGAGCACCAACGGGCCTGCATGGGTGTGCATGCATATATACAATGGGCACATTATGTGTGTGCCTCGTGGGGTGAGGTGAGGGCGAGAGTCCATGCAAGGGGACACACACAGAGAGAGAGAAGGACGAGTGTGTGTGCGGGCGGTGCACGGCTCTCTCACTCACTCTCACGCAGCCACCACTGCAGCAGCCGCACACGCAACAAGAAGAAGCAAAAGAGGGAAGGTGGTGTGGGAGACAGTTATGCTGCCGTCACTGTCGCCAGGCGCCGCCGTATCATCTGTTTGAGCGGCGGTTTGTTGTGGCATTGGGGTTCCTGCACTCGGAAGGACCACATCTTCTGTGATGTGTGATGCGTCATCACCATCGGGAGTGTTTTTTGGGTCGTGCATCGTCCTCAGAGGAAGATGGGCTCAAATCACTGATTGTCCGGCTGCCTTCTGTGCTGGCCTCAGACCGCACGGCCGTAGTTGCTGCAGAGCTGCTGACGCTGATACCAGGCATGGTCGTATTGCTCTTCGTTTCATCGGCTGTGACTGGCAACTGTGATTCTCCTTCGCCTTTTGCCGGAGCAGCAGATTTTTCGCCAAACTCCGCGTCGTGTTGTTTTACTCCGGCGGAAGTCTGTTGAGCATTATTCGCTTCCCTTTGGTTCCCGTGACTGTTGTCAGCACCGTGGCCACCTGTGGAGGAGGATGACAAAATTGTATCCGGTGCAAATTTGACTGGTGCATCCTGCGACACATTTAATGAATCTTGTCTACGATCATCATTTCCTGGCGGACTCGCATTTCGGGGTTCCTGCGCATTGCCTCTTCGAGCATCATTCAGTAAATGTGACGCTGAGCCGTCCTCGGGAGTTGACTGCAAGCCTCTCTCTGTCGCTGGGTCTTTTCCAGGCGCTTCTCCTTCTTTTCCTGATTTTGGATCATCGGCATTTCGTTCCTTTTCCCCGACATGTTGATCATTTTGTCTATCGTGTTCACCGTGTTGTCCTTGTGCTCGAATTCCTTCATTACCCTTTCCTGCCGATTGCTCTTCTTCTCCGTCGTCTTCGACATCATCTCCAACGGTTCCTTCCAGGGATGTATCGGCAACCTCGAGCATTGGCACACCAACATCTGCTGATGGTATTTTTGGGCCTTGGACGTTTGGCGGTGTCGTCTCAAGTTGTGGTGGTTTCGGCTGACGTCCACCAACATCCGCAGAAGCACCGACGGCAGGTGACTCATCCTCAGCAAAGCCCCCACCAGAACCGCACCACAGCACGCAGAGGGCACACACCAGCAGCACACGGCCAGTCATCATCATCGCCATCACTCCTGTCACCTGCGTGCAGCCTTCAGCACAAACTAACTCCCGTCAACGCAGAGAAAGCAAAAAGAAAGAGAGACATGTCACATAGACACGCACCGTCCCATCCAGCAATGAGAGTCACGCACAACAACAACAACAATTGGGCGTGAGCCGCTCAACAACAATCAAAAAAACAAAAAGAGGAGCGCTCCTCGCCACTGCACCGTCACTCACACTCCCAAAGTCACTATTACTGTTATTCTCTCTTCTCAGGCCCTCACAGGCACGCCACGCTCACTTGAACACACGCCCCTCCAGCACAGGCAGGCCATCATGCGCTTCCGCCGCGCCACAACGTCCGCCACCACCTCCTCCCCCAGTCAAACAGCTCCGTGTCCTCCACGTCCTCCACAATCGCCAGCATGCCACGGCCGCGCAACAAACACAGCGCCACAATGTCGTGCCGCCTATCCTTCCCAATGATGGGTGCAACGCCCAACGCGTACTGGCGCACGCGCTCCATGCGCTGCAACCACACGCGGATCAGGTTGGCCGTCATGCACTGCAGCCTGTTGTCCTTCTGCTTGTGGCACCAAAAAGACATATAGCCGGCGGTACCGCAGTGCTAGAAGAGAGCGGAGCAGCAACCGTGCGGGTGTTCGTCCTACTGTACTCGCGGTTTAACGCTTCCAGCAAGAACGGGATCAGCGGCAGCTCATCCAGCGGGTTCGCCCTCTTCTACTCCTTCGGCGCCTCGTCCTCCTCCAGAGCAGCTGCCGCTGCCGTAGACCACGCTCCTGCTGCCATCACCCCCACAGAGAGACAGGGAAGAGTGTGTGGAAGTGTGTGCCGAGAACACAGCGACTGTCATCGTCGGAGAAGGCCATCGTGGCACCGTCATCCTTTCAGCACAAACGTCAGCCAACGTCCCTCGTTACCAAAAACGTTCCTGCAGAGCACTGTGCAAATACCTATGTGACTGTGTAAGTGTGTTGTGGGAGGAGCTAAAAAGAAGAAGAGCACAGGGAGGCACATCAGCACAGCAAGAGGCACAGCTGGATGGCAGCGATACATGCGGCACGGCCCCAACCTCAACAATCACGCACGGTGGCAGCACACACAAATCCACAAAACAAGACAAAACAAAAGAAACACGGCGGCAGGGTGTGGCTGTGTGTGTGGCGCTGCGAGTGTCTGCCAGCCCTGGCCGCAAAACAAAACAAGAGGGAAAGAAATGTGTGCTCCGCCCCACTGGGCCTCGTCGCACGCCCACACGTCACGGCTCCCTCAGCGCGCCGTTCGTCGCGGCCCCTCCTCATGCGTGCAGCAGGCGAGGCGCACAGGACCGTCGTCGTGAGCGTGTCGGTGGGTGTGCGAGTGGAGCAGTTGGGCGGGAAACACACGGCACCCCTCGCAGGAAGAGTGCAGCAACAAACAATTTAAAAGAGGGAAGAGTAGAAAAAAAAACGTCCAAAGTGATTGCCCCTCAAAAACCGAAAAAAAAGAGATGGGGGATGGGAAATTAGAAAAAACAAAAAACAGACGGAAAATAATAACGTAAACAAATTTTCTTAAAGAAGGACACACACTCGTACACACTCGCACACACGCGCAACACGCAAAAAAAAATTATGAATTACAAACAGAAAGCAAGAAAAGAAAATTATCGTAAGGATAAAGTTAGTTCCAGGAAAAGTAATTCTGTGCAGGGGAGTGCCGCAAGTGCTCCACGCGGCAGCCAGTCACTCCTCACAGAGCCGCAAACCCCCACAGTCCCAACAGGAGAAGAAGCAGCGATGGCAACGGTCCGCTCTCACGCATGGTGCCGGCATCGCTGTTATTCCCCTGCGACAAATTCCCGAGACTGCTGCTGAGGGCCGCAGCCTTTACGTCCCCGACCTGCGTATTAACCTCCTCCTTCTCCTGCCCATCCGTTCCTTCCGCTGCCTCCCCATCCGCGCCTGAGCTCGCGCTCGCCCCAGGATTCACTGCGGTTCCATCGTGCCCCGTGGCTTCAGCGTTAGGGGCATATGCATCTGCTGTGGCGGGAGTACCCACAGGAGTTTGTGATGATCCATCTCCCTGCACCATACTTCGGTCTCCTGTCTCCACCGCTGCGTCACTGTCGGACAAGGAAGCGCCACCCACATTTTCACTTCCATCGGAAGATTCTTCTGAAACCACCTGGGTTGCAGACCCCTCTTCTCCTGAGGAAGTCGGGGCACTGGACACTGTTGGTGCGGATACAACATCTGCACCGCTGCTCACCAACAACTGTCCCTGTTCTTCCTTTCCTCCACCAGAAGATTGAACCGCGTCTCCTTCAACAGACTTGTCCACCTGAACTGGAATATTGGCTTTATTCGGATTGAAGGCGCCAATCTCAGTGTCATCCCACGGGCGGTTGTACAGCAGGACGTTCGTCACAGTCACAGACACGCCTTCTTTGTTCTCTGCGCTGCCTCCATCCCCTCCAATGTAGAAGTGGGAGATCTCTTTCGAGTCACAATTTCCCAATTCACATGGCACATCACCACCCACTCGCTGACCATCGACGTACGCGGTGCACTGGGTGCCGTTCCGTAGCAAAATTACCACGTGGTGCGTTGTATCTTTCTCCCCAATGCTGCTGAGCTCCTTAGGATCTCCATCACCGCACAGCACCTGCCACCTCTTTCCGCTGCCGTACGACAACTCAATAAGTTTTTTTTCTCCTTTACTGCCCGCTCGTACACCCATCAATGGAATATTACCCTCCGGCACGTTGTGGATGGACACCGTCGCCACAAGAGTGAAGTTGTAGTTAGCAAAGTGGTACAGCTGGTTCTCCCCCTGCCTGCCAACGGGCCACTCCGCCCCTGCGCCACGCCCAGTGAACTTCACACCATCGGAGGGCCCTGTGGCCGCTGCTGCATCGTTCTTTGCTGTGGCGTTCACCCCGAGATACTCGTCCCTCCATGTGCCATCAGAGAAGTTGCCAGACAAAAAGCCAACCAGCCCATCCGTGATCTTAACAGCGTTGCAGTCAGTGTCAGTTGGGGGATCCTTCGCAGCAATCAATGAGGTGCACAGGTTGGAGACACGGTCGTCCACTTCCTTCCAGGTCGCCAGCACCTTCTTCACCCGCTCCAGCTGCTCAGTCAAAAGCACAGAGACCAGACCGGGTGATGGCTTTCCTTCATCACCGCCCTTCTTCTTCTCGTACAGTGCAATCAACTCCTCCTTCTTATCATCAGTTCCACTTTCACCACTGTTGTACAACAGGGAGCTGGCGGCAGCGTCATGATCATCACCGGATACCGGACCAATATCAACAATGTGTGTATTGTCCGTCAGCCAAAGATGGAGTTTGCCGTTTTTGTTGCCTTTCTCGGCATACACCGGCAGAGTAACGAGCATCACTTTCCTTTCATCAATCTCCGCTGTGATGAACCCGCTCCCAACGCCCTTCACATCTCGGTTGTGGTTGTTGCCCCACACGCGCGAGAGTGTCCCGAGTGCCTCCGTCCACGACTCCCCCTTGTCACCGATCTCGTACACCCTGCGGCGGCCATCAGCACACGCAGTCATCATCATGAGTTTTGTGTCCTTCCACTCCACGACGGAGGGATCACTGCAGCCATCGGCAGACATCCCCTTCGACAGCGTCCAATTCGTAAAGTCCTTCGAGTGTAGGATCAGTGAAACGGTTTTTCCATCCTCCTCTGCGGCCTCCGCCTTCTTCTTTGTGCCTTCCACAGGAAAAACAAGCGTCTCGTCATGCATCTTAACACCCGATCCACCACTTCCAATCAGCCTCGCCCAGGAATCGAGCTGCGTGCCAAACAGTCTTTGCGGGGGATTTTCAGTATCTTTCCAGCCAATTTTTTTTTTATTTTCAACCTCACTATTGACGCTCCCTTTCACCAGCAAAAGTCCCAATTGAGCCGCACCAGGCTTGGCATTCTGTCCAGGAACAGCAACTTTATTGGTGTACTTTCCAGCAAGCATGTAAATATCATTTCCCTCCACAACTGTTGTTGGTCGGCTCACATCTACTCTTTTATTTTGGCTTTCGGAACCGACTTCCTCCAGTACTTGTGTATCTTTGGTTTCCTTCAGCACTTCCTCCGGCTTGTCAGTAGTTTTTCTCGGGAGAACTTGGGATGCAACGCCAGTAAAAACGGCGCCATCCTTTCCGCACTGCGCCTCGGCAACGGCAAACACGTCACTCCCCACTTTTAGAAGGCTGGGAACACCCAACGAGTCCACAGTTACATCATCACCCTCAGTGATGCCCTTCCACTCAAACGTTGGATCAGCTGGCTCCTGCTCCTCATCCGCAGTCACAGTCCCACTGCCGCCGAAAGCCATGACGACAAGTAGAAGCAGCACAAAATGGAAGAGATGCCGGGACATGTTGGGCCTCTGCGGCTCACTCTCTCTTCCTTCCCTCCTCCTTCCGCTGGATACGGTCACGCGGCGGCGGTTGTGTGTGCGGGGTGCCTTCACAGCAGCAACACGTGAGAGCATATAAATATGTGTGGGTGGGCGGTGTGTGTGCTGTTGGTCCTTTCAGTGCCTTCGAATTTCACAGTGGCGTTTAGCGCTTGTTATTAACTTCTTTCCTTTGTGTGTGAGTACGAGAGAGAAGTTAAAGAAGTGAAACAGTGAACACCGCCACCCATCCACTGTGACTGGCAACATCATCCCCGCCGCAGTCACTCTCAACAACAACTCACGCACACAGACACACGGAACGAGAAGGAAGAACAGTGCAGCGGGAACACACAGCGACGGTCATCACCAGGAGCAGGAGCCACAGCGGGTACGTCGTTATCCGTCACGCGTCAGCACACACCGAGCAACGTTCACGCACAAAACAACCAACGGGAGGCAAAAAAAAACATCCGCCCTTCACAGCACACACGCGCTGCCGCCAGTCGTTTTACTCCTGTCTGTACAGCGCACCCGCACATCGCCCCGCACAGCCGGAGAATCCTCCGTCGGTGTACGAACAGCGGGAGGAACACGTCAGACCGTGCAGCTGCGGCGCTGAAGCCTATCCGCAATAATACCAGACACCAAAACGCCACGCCACTCAATGGCTGAATGCCGCCAACATAACAATCGCAGCACGGTAAAAAAACAAATCGCGGTCATCCCTCCTCGCAGGGGCAGCCGCAGCAAGAATCGTGTACGTGCGTGCGTCCTCAGCGTTCACGCCGCCCCACAGCGTGAGCAACATAGCGTGTGCATCTGCTCGTACTTATGTCGGCGTGTATACATGCAGAGCAGCTGTGCGCCACAAGAGAGTCTGAAGAAAGCAACGGCAGAGAGAGGCAGATAGCACACACGCAAATTACTCATATCATCGCACACACACACACACGCAGCCGCGGAATGGGTGCACTCAACCACAAAATCAAAAAGGAAAACAAAACAAAAAGCCGAAGCGTGGGACGACCAGCGCACACACACTCTCATTACTCCCGTAAAGCAAAACACACACACAGAGAGGAGAGAGAGAGAGGTCGCCCACTCAATGCAATAAAAACAAAACAGAAACAGTTACGGTGCTCCGTCCATGCAGCCAGGCAGGACGGCAGCGGTGCGTGTCGTGCAAAAGAGGGCACCAACGGGCATGCATGGGTGTGCATGCATATATACAATGGGCACATTATTGTGTGTGCTTCGTGGGGTGAGGTGAGGGCGAGAGTCCATGCAAGGGGACACACACAGAGAGAGAGAAGGACGAGTGTGTGTGCGGGCGGTGCATGGCTCTCTCACACTCACTCTCACGCGGCCACCACCGCAGCAGCAGTGCCCGCAGCAGCACACGCAACAAGAAGAAGCAAAAGAGGGGAGGTGGTGTGGGAGACAGTGATGCTGCCGTCACTGTCGGCAGGCGTCGCCGTAGCATCTGTTTGAGCGGCGGTTTGGTGTGGCATTGGGGTTCCTGCACTCGGAAGGACCACATCTTCTGTGATGTGTGATGCGTCATCACCATCGGGAGTGTTTTTGGGTCGTGCATCGTCCTCAGAGGAAGATGGGCTCAAATCACTGATTGTCCGGCTGCCTTCTGTGCTGGCCTCAGACCGCACGGCCGTAGTTGCTGCAGAGCTGCTGACGCTGATACCAGGCATGGTCGTATTGCTCTTCGTTTCATCGGCTGTGACTGGCAACTGTGATTCTCCTTCGCCTTTTGTCGGAGCAGCAGATTTTTCGCCAGACTCCGCGTCGTGTTGTTTTACTCCGGCGGAAGTCTGTTGAGCCTTCTTCGCTTCCCTTTGGTTCCCGTGACTGTTGTCAGCACCGTGGCCACCTGTGGAGGAGGATGACAAAATTGTATCCGGTGCAAATTTGACTGGTGCATCCTGCGACACATTTAATGAATCTTGTCTACGATCATCATTTCCTGGCGGACTCGCATTTCGGGGTTCCTGCGCATTGCCTCTTCGAGCATCATTCGGTAAATGTGACGGTGAGCCGTCCTCGGAGTTGACTGCAAGCCTCTCTCTGTCGCTGGGTCTTTTCCAGGCGCTTCTCCTTCTTTTCCTGATTTTGGATCATCGGCATTTCGTTCCTTTTCCCCGTCATGTTGGTCATTTTGTCTATCGTGTTCACCGTGTTGTTCTTGTGCTCGAATTCCTTCATTACCCTTTCCTGCCGATTGCTCTTCTTCGACATCATCTCCATCGGTTCCTTCCAGGGATGTATCGGCAACCTCGAGCATTGGCACACAAACGTCTGCTGATGGTATTTTTGGGCCTTGGACGTTTGGCGGTGTCGTCTCAAGTTGTGGTGGTTTCGGCTGACGTCCACCAGCATCCGCAGAAGCACCGACAGCAGGCGACTCATCCTCAGCAAAGCCCCCACCAGAACCGCAGCACAGCACGCAGAGGGCACACACCAGCAGCACACGGCCAGTCATCATCATCGCCATCACTCCTGTCACTTGCGTGCAGCCTTCAGCACAAACTAACAACACGTCAACGCAGAGTGAAAGGAAGAAAAGGAGAGACAAGTCACACAGCCACGCGCACCGTAACAAATGACAGCATTCCCGCAGAAGCACGCACACCGACCTGCAAATCAGAAGCAAAAAAGCAATACCAAAACAATAAAAAAAGAAGTTGGGTGTCCAACAGGAGTCCCTTCGCAAAAAAAAAAAACATACCTCAGAAGAGTTTTCATTTCATACGCCATGCAGCAAAGCAGTTCTGTGCCTATATATACATGCGTACACTGCCTTCACAAGAAAAAGGATCGTACTGTTCCACCAGCCCATGCAGCAACCCTCACATTTCATGCGGCATCCGGCCTGTCTCTCCAGTCCTCCTTTCGTGCAGTCCGTGGGACGCACAGCCGCAGGGCCGCCATCGCATGTAAGCAACAGAAGCAATCAAGAGGGAAACACTTCCCTCATGACGGTGTGCAGCAGCCGGCCATTACGTAAAGAAAGAAAGAGTACTTATTATTCCAGGTGAACAACAACAACAAAAACATGAACAAAGCAAAAAAGAAAACTTGCGGGGAGTGCAGCTCATATTCTCTGTGAGAAGTCACATACCCTCACTCCGTGGCTGAAAAGACTGCCACAACTCTACACAGTCCCAAAAGCGGAAGCAGCAGTGGCGTGTCCAGCCAAGAGGTGATAATTTCGCTGCCGTCCACCCTCTGCAAGGGCATGTCACCTTCACAAGGGATTCCTCTGCTCTCTCTGATTTTCCTGTTGTTTAAAGGAGATGTGCTCTGTGCGGCGCTGCTGCACGCACTGCTGCTTGTCGGCTCCTTGGCGGCGGGGGCGGGTGCTCGAGGACCATGGATGCTGTCCCATCGCTGTACGCATCGCTGGTATTGGGCGTCGTGAGGTCAGGACTCAAATATTCCTCCGGTCCTACAGAACTATTCGTGCCGCCGTAATCCGAGCAGCTCCTCGCCGCAAAATCGCCGAATATCGCATTGAAAGCCTCCTCTTCCGTTACATATTGACCGTCCGGTTTCTTATCAGTACGACACGCAGTCCAGCTGCTCTCGCCGACTAGGCGCCAGTACCCACCGGAATCCCTGTTCCCACACGCACCATACAAACATCGCCATCTTTCTTCGCGTACACGCGCGAGCAGCAGCAGCAGCAGCAGTAGTAGTGTTAGAGTTGCTGAAGTCGGTGAGCAGATCTGCACACCAAGTGGAGAAGAGAAGGGCAAAAGGGAACTAGAAGGAGGTGCAGCAAAGAGAGACACACACATCGTCGCAGCGTCGCTGTTGCGTCCGCGGTAATGATGCGACCTCCCACAGCAGGCACAACTCGCACACTGCACGCACTGCAAAACGGCATCCACACAAGAAAAACACATAACGACAGAACAGCCAACAAAAACAAGAAGGAGGAGAGAACCACAACCATCTCCCCCACTTGCACAACAAACGGCCCTCCACGTTCTAAGCGAGACAGTTTCTGCAGGCTTGCCATCGTTCCGCTGCACGCTCTCAGCGCCCACAGTGGGAGTCAGCACAGCGTACAAGTGAGAAAAAAAACGCATCTCACTCCCGTCGGGAGAAATAAAAACACCCTGACGACAACAACAACGGTGCAAGAGTGCCGCATCGGAGAATACAATGGCGTTGCTGGCGTCCAGATCAATGACGCGTACCCTCGGAAATACGCGTGGAATTTATGGCACGTAAGATTGCGGAGTCGTGTCCGCAGACAAACGGCATTCGGAGCCAAGCCTGTCTCTCGGTGGCAAAGATGGGTCAAGAATGTCGTCGGAGAGGCACCACTGCAGACGGCGGGGCAGAGCAACGTACCGCACACGGGAAACAAATATTTGCCTGCCTCGTCACTGGAGCACAACGTATTCAGCCAGTAATATCTCGCTCTCTGGCGATGGCGGATTTTTAAAAAGTCTCACGGTATTGGGGAGACTCGGCAATGCCGCAACGTGCTTGCTGGGATTCCACGAGAATGTGGGCAGTCTGCATGTTTCCATGCAAGTCACAGCCGATAGGCGCATCATAGGGGATGCTGTTTGAGTGCGCCAACGACGGTTACTTGCCTCATGCCCCGTCACAGGCAGGCCGTCCCTCATCAATCCCTGCAGGATTCGCCTACGCTCCTCCAAGGAGTACTGGAGGCATCCGTTGTGCTGCACGCGGATCGCATCATCTTCCACAACAACTCCATTCACTAAAAGGCCACGGTTAAACAGCCCGTCAACAACAATCGTCAAGGGACCGCCACCCACCGCGTGCTGAGGTGGAAAACGCACGTGAAGAATACGTCTCCAGTAGGTTTCATCGCAAATACACAACCGCTATTCCCTCCGTCACAGTGTTGTCATCACCGCAGCAGCAACGCACCAGTGCCGGCTCTGTCCGGTACAATGAAAAAGAAAGCCCCATTCTCCGAGCCATGAAGCCATCAAGAGAGTCAGACGGCTGCTCTGCCACGGCGATAACGTGCCCCATCAGGCGCAACAGAATATCACAGACCAGCAGATTGAAAGGCGCGGTTGTCGCCCCGCCAATGAGAGAAATGCGCGCCACCACGCGGGGCTCCGCTGGCATTCCCGCCTCCATATTATGTTCCCTCAGTAACGGACTCTGCGCCAGCACCGTCGCCACACTGAAAAGGAAGGTCTGGATTTGTCTCCCGCACAGTACAAGTTCCTGCCACCGCCCGCTCCTCCCCTGTTTACTCATCGACCATCGTCATGCGGCAGCAACAAGCGAAACAAACTTCGATTGGTTCCGCCTGCAGGTCCCTTGGTAACTGCTCCATCCACCGCCTTGGAAAAACGGCGATGTGCAGCGGCGGAGCATTTGATCGTTTCAGCAAACAAATTGGAGAAAAAGGGCTCAAGCACACCCACAAGACTCCCAACAAGAAAAGGTAAACGCGGCATGACTTACACAACTCAACGTAACGGTTCTAAAACAAAGCGTGGATGACTCTGTCGACGCCACACCCGCACCGCATGCCGCCAACTCCTCCACGGCAAAAACAAACTGGCAAAAACAAACTGGCAAAAAGGAGAAGACATAAAAACGCTTCGGGAGAGCAAAAAACGCCACTGCAGCATCGCATCCCTCTCAACGTCCTCAATCGGCCTGAGGCATGCCGTCTCGGATCCACCTGGCGCACACCGTTCTCCCGGCACTTTTGTTGAAAGGCGGCCATCCGCCAGCCGCGATCCGTCGGTCACAGAAAGAGTGCAGGCAACAGGCATGTCTGTCGCACCCTCCATCACCCTCACAAAGCGTCGAATTGTCGTTGGCAGGAGTAATGTTGTTTCTGCTCCACGCGTCTCCATCCCAGGGGAGAAGAGACACGCCGACTGCTGCCACCCGTTCCTCCCCCGTCGCCTCTCTCTTCCTCCACCAGCCCATAATACTCCGCAAAGTTGCTCATGGCAGTGTCTCCACCGTTCTCAACGTGAAACAAATTAAACTTGTTCTCCCTGAGACCCAAAGCGACCAAAGCAAAAGCGAGCCGAGCATCCAACGGCTGCACTGGCCCAACCCCACAAAATTGCACCAAGTACACAATGACAGGATCGCGACGGCAACACTGCAGAAAAATAGCGTCCACTGCGGAGATTAGTTTGTGCTGCGCACAGTTGCGGTGCCCCTGGGGTTCTTGCATCGCCAAAAACAAAAACAATAATCCTGCAGCGTGCGGAGAGGATGTTTCGCAAGCGCATTATCGGTGGAGCCAAACAACTGTGCCGTCAGCAGAGGGCAGCGGGTGGCGGGGGAAGATGAAGGTGGTGGGACCGTTGGGGAGGGTCGATGCGCAGTGTCCCCCACAAATACGAGGCAGATGAAGTGAAACACACTCGTCTGAACGTCACCGGCCACCACAATGCATTGCGCCCCGCTGTGAATATTGATGAGCTCGAGGCTGGAGCAGCTACTCGCAGTGCGTGAAAGTGTCTTCCTGCACTGACGCTGCAATTCACATTAGACGGGCAACTTCAGCACAGTCGATCCCCAGCAGTAAAATGCAGCTGGCAGTGACGCTGCGGATTCTCGATTTTCCCCGGGCAACGAAGGATGAAGAAGAAAACTGGTCTCCCCAGCTGCGCGGCATCCATCCATTCACGCTGTGCGTCCGGAGTTCCCCGCAGCCACCCTTGAGAGATGCAGCGGACAGACCTCCCTTAGTTTCGCCTCGATCCGTCGACTAAGACCTTCGCGGAGGTGTCGGCACACACCGAAGTCTCCCTCGTGCCAGCCAAACAAAAGACACACCCGTTGAGCATCGTCACGTGCGTCAACGGCCACGCAAGTAAATACCCACCGCAACGCAAGGTGTTTCTTATTGGGAAGCAAAAGAAAACTGAAGAAGGCGGCCTGGACAGCACACAACAAATCACACGCCAGGCAACCCTGAAATAAATGCGAAAAAGCCAACGCGGGATGAGCAGCACAACCACTCGAGAGCTGCTGCGTGAACTCCACGGTAAACGGATCAGTCCCAACGCATGGGCACTAATTACGGCGGGTGACAGCGCAAAAGCCAACAGTTCCGCAGGGCCGGGAATTGTAGGGACGACATCCAAACCCTCCCAGGATCCGTGTGCCAAGACACGCAAATAATCTGCCTCTCGGTGCAAACCATCATCATCCTCATCGCTGTTTTTGCCGCCATTCGTATTGTCACACTCAAAGCCGGTGAGGGAAGGTGCTGCCATGATAATTGCGACATCACCCTGAATGAAAGAACGCAATGCCTCGAAGGGTGCCGAGTGCAGGCATCCCGTCAGGCAGCGAGACGCCGCACTCCCAAAGAAAAGCGATGAAAGACCGTAGAAAATGTTTTCATCCGCCATCGTAATATCATCCAGCGGGTTCGCCCTCTTATTCCTTCGGCGCTTCGTCCTTCCCCACAGCACCAGCTGCCACTGCCGTAGACCACGCTCCCGCTACCATCACTCTCACAGAGAGACAGGGAAGAGTGCGTGGAAGTGTGTGCCGAGAACACGGCGACTGTCATCGTCAGAGAAGGCCATCGTGGCACCGTCATCCTTTCAGCGCAAACGTCAGCCAACGTCCCTCGTTACCAAAAACGTTCCTGCAGAGCACTGTACAAATACTCATGTGACTGTGTACGTGTGCTGTGGGAGAGGAGCTAAAAAGAAGAAGAGCACAGGGAGGTACATCAACACAGCAAGAGGCACAGCTGGATGGAAGCGATACATGCGGCACGGCCCCAACCTCATCAATCACGCACGGTGGCGGCACAAACACATCCACTAACAAAACAAAACAAAAAAACACGGCGGCAGGGTGTGGCTGTGTGTGTGGCGCTGCGAGTGTCTGCCAGCCCTGGCCGCAAAGAAAACAAAACAAGAGGGAAGAAATGTGTGCTCCGCCCCACAGGCCCTCGTCGCACGCCCACACGTCACGGCTCCCTCAGCGCGCCGTTCGTCGCGGCCCCTCCTCATGCGTGCAGCAGGCGAGGCGCACAGGGCCGTCGTCATGAGCGTGTCGGTGGGTGTGCGAGTGGAGCAGTTGAGCGGGAAACACACAGCACCCCTCACAGGAAGAGTGCAGCAACAAACAATTAAAAAGTAGAAAAGTAAAAAAGAAAAAAGGTCCAAAGTGATTGCCCCCTAAAACCCCAAAAAAAAAAAAGGATGGGGAATGAGAAATAAGAAAAAACAAAAAATTAAAAAAAAAGAATTTTAAAACAATAAAGTAGCAAGCATTAAAATAAATTTAAAATACGAAAAAAAAGTAAAATTATCAGAGATATTCGTTCCCGGAGAAGTAATTCCGTGCAGGGGAGTTCGCAAGTGTCCCACGCGGCAGCCAGTCACGCCTCACAGAGCCGCAAACCCCCACAGTCCCAACAGGAGAAGAAGCAGCGATGGCAACAGTCCGCTCTCACGCGTGGTGCCGGCATCGCTGTTATTCCCCTGCGACACATTTCCGAGACTGCTGCTGAGGGCCGCAGCCCTTACGTCCCCGTTCTGTGCTTGGATCTCCTCCTTCTCCTGCCCATCCGTTCCTTCTTCTCTTGTCTCCACCCTTGGGTCACCGTCGGAGAAGGAAGCGCCACCCACATTTTTATGTCCATCAGAAGATTCTTCTGAAACCACCTGCATTACGGACTCTTCTCCTACTGAGGAAATCGTGGCACTGGACACTGTTGGTGCGGATACAACACCTGCACCGCTGCTCACCAACGACTGTCTCTGTTCCTCCGGTCGTCCGCCAGAAGAAGATTGAATCGCTTCTCCTTCAACAGGCCTGTCCACCTCAACTGGAACATTGGCTTTATTCGGGTTGAAGGCGCCAATCTCAGTGTCATCCCACGGGCGGTTGTACAGCAGGACGTTCGTCACAGTCACAGACACGTCTCCTCGGCTTTCTTGGTCGTCTGCGCTGCCTCCATCCCCTCCAATGTAGAAGTGGGAGATCTCATTCGACTCACCACTTCCCAATTCACATTGTGCATTCCCCACTCGCTGACCATCAACGTACGCGGTGCACTGGGTGCCGTTCCGTAGCAAAATTACCACGTGGTGCGGTGTCTCTGTCCCCAAAATGCTGCTGAGCTCCGTAGGGTTTCCATCACCGCACAGCACCTGCCACTTCTTTTCGCTGTCGTACGACAACTCAATAAGTTTTTTTTCTCCTTTACTGCCCGCACGCACACCCATCAACGGAATAGTACCCTCCGGCACGTTGTGGATGGACACCGTCGCCACAAGAGTAAATTTATAGTTAGCAAAGTGGTACAGCTGATTCTGCCCCTGCTTGCCAACGGGCCACTCCGCCCCTGCGCCACGCCCAGTGAACTTCGCGCCATCGGAGGGCCCTGTGGCCGCTGCTGCACCGTTCTTTGCTGTGGCGTTCACCCCGAGATACTCGTCCCTCCATGTGCCATCAGAGAAGTTGCCAGACAAAAAGCCAACCAGTCCATCCGTGATCTTAACAGCACCGCAGACATTGTCAGTTGAGCGATCCTCCTGAGCAATCAATGAGGTGCACAGCAAGGAGACACGGTCGTCCACTTCCTTCCAGGTCGCCAGCACCTTCTTCACCCGCTCCAGCTGCTCAGTCAAAAGCACAGAGACCAGACCGGGTGATGGCTTTCCTTCATCACCGCCCTTCTTCTTCTCGTACAGTGCAATCAACTCATCCTCCTTCTTATCATCAGTTCCACTTTTACCACTTTTGTACAACAGGGAGCTGGCGGCAGCGTCATGATCATCACCGGATACCGGCCCAATATCAACAATGTGCGTGTTGTCCGTCAGCCAAAGATGGAGTTTGCCCTTTTTGTTGACTTCCTCGGCATACACCGGCATAGTAACGAGCATCGCATTTCTGTTATCTTTAACACCGTCAATCTTCGCTGTGATGAACCCGCTTCTAACGCCACTTACGCCCTTTTTGTTGTTGCCCCACACGCGCGAGAGTGTCCCGAGTGCCTCCGTCCACGACTCTCCCTTGTCACCGATCTCGTAAACCCTGCGGCGGCCATCAGCACACGCAGTCATCATCATGAGTTTTGCGTCCTTCCACTCCACGACGGAGGGATCACCGCAGCCATCGGCAGACATCCCCTTCGACAGCTTCCAATTCGTAAAGTCCTGCGAAGAAGATATGATCAGTGAAACGGTTTTTCCATCCTCATCTGCGTCATCATTCTCCTTCTTCTTCACGGCTTCCACGGGGAACAAAAACGTACCGTCATTCATCTTAACACCCGATCCACCGCCGCCAGTCAGCCGCTTCAAGGAGTTTTGTTGGTCGCCTAGAGTGCACGGTACACCATCAGTATCGTTCCAGTGGATTTTGTTACCGCCTTCACCAACAACGACTTCCCCTTTCACCAGCAATATTCCCGATTTGATCTTCTCGCTCGTAGCCTTACATTCAGCACCACCAACAGTTGCAGGGATGTATTTTCCAACAAGCATGTAAATACCACTTCCCTCCACAACTGTTGTTGGTCGGCTCACATCTATTCTTTTATTTTGTCTTTCGGAACCGTCTTCCTCCAGTACTTGTGTATCTTTGGTTTCCTTCAGCACTTCCTCCGGTGTGTTAGTAGTTTTTGTCGTGAGAGGTTGAGATGCAACACCAGTAAAACTGACATCACCGTTCTTTTTGCACTGCGCCTCGGCAACGGCAAATACCTCATTCCCCACTTTTAGAAGGCTGGGAGCACCCAACAAGTCCACAGTTACATCATCACCCTCAGTGATGCCCTTCCACTCAAACGTTGGATCAGCTGGCTCCTGCTCCTCATCCGCAGTCACAGTCCCACTGCCGCCGAAAGCCATGACGACAAGTAGAAGCAGCACAAAATGGAAGAGATGCCGGGACATGTTGGGCCTCTGCGGCTCACTCTCTCTTCCTTCCCTCCTCCTTCCGCTGGATACGGTCACGCGGCGACGGTTGCGTGTGCGGGGTGCCTTCACTGCAGCAACACGTGAGTGCATATAAATATGTGTGTGGGCGGTGTGTGTGCTGTTGGTGCTTTCAGTGCCTTCGAATTTCACAATAGCGATTAGCGCTCGTTTGTAACTTCTTTCCTTTGTGTGGGAGTACGAGAGAAAAAAGGAAAAGGAGTGAAACAGTGAACACCGCGATCCATCCAGAGTGACCGGCATCATCATCTCCGCCGCAGTCACTCTCAAGAATAACAACTCACGCACACAGACAAATGGAACGAGATGGAAGAACAATGAAGCGGGAACATCAAAAACAACCACCAGCAGCAGCAGCAGGAGCCACGCCCGGTACGTCGTTATCCGTCACGCGTCAGGACACACCGAGCAACGTTCACGCACAAAACAACCAACGGGAGGCAAAAGAGCACATCCGCCCTTCACAGCACACACGCGCTGCCACCAGCCTTTTTGCTGTCGTCTCTTCCAACGCACCCGCACATCGCACATCGCCCCGCACAGCCGGAAAATCCTCCGTCGGTGGATCAACAGCGGGAGGAACACGTCAGACCGTGCAGCTGCGGCGCTGAAGCCTATCCGCAATAATACCAGACACCAAAACGCCACGCCGCCCATGGCTGGATGCCGCCAACATAACAATCGCAGCACGGTAAAAAAACAAATCGCGGTCATCCCTCCTCGCAGGGGCAGCCGCAGCAAGAATCGTGTACGTGCGTGCGTCCTCAGCGTTCACGCCGCCCCACAGCGTGCGCAACATGGCGTGTGCATCTGCTCGTACTTTTGTCAGCGTGTATACTTGCAGAGCAGCTGTGCGCCACAAGAGAGTCCGAAGAAAGCAACGGCAGAGAGAGGCAGATAGCACACACGCAAATTACTCATATCAATACGCACGCACGCAGCCGCGGAATAGGTGCACTCAACAACAAAATCAAAAAGAAAAACAATAAAAAAGGCCGAAGCGTGGGACGACCAGCGCACACACACTCTCATTACTCCCGTAAAGCAAAACACACACACAGGGAGAGAGAGAGAGGTCGCCCACTCAATGCAATAAAAACAAAACAAAAACAGTTACGGTGCTCCGTCCATGCAGCCAGGCAGGACGGCAGCGGTGCGTGTCGTGCAAAAGAGGGCACCAACGGGCATGCATGGGTGTGCATGCATATATACAATGGGCACATTATTGTGTGTGCTTCGTGGGGTGAGGTGAGGGCGAGAGTCCATGCAAGGGGACACACACAGAGAGAGAGAAGGAAGAGTGTGTGTGCGGGCGGTGCATGGCTCTCTCACAATCACTCTCACGCGGCCACCACCGCAGCAGTGCCCGCACACGCAACAACAAGAAGAAGCAAAAGAGGGGAGGTGGTGTGGGAGACCGCGGTGCTGCCGTCACTGTCGGCAGGCGTCGCCGTACCATCTGTTCTGGCGGTAGCTGCTGCTTTCGCTGTACGTGGTTTTGTCTCACTGGCCGTGGGCGCAACGTTGGTATGACTGGCTTCGGGGTCGTTGTGTGGCCCTCTGGGGTTGGGCCCTTTGCTGTTGTCGTCATTCTCATCCGCCCTACTCCGGCCATCACCACTGCCACTTGTAGAGATGGATGATGCCGTTACTTCCGCCGGGCTGCCGGTAGGTCCACCCTTCAGATCCGGTAAAACTGTGCCTTGACCCTGTTGCTCTGCCACACCATCTCCAGAAGTAGGTTCCGTCTCTTCAGGCTCCTTTTTGTTTGGTGACGGTGGCGTTTTTGTCCTTTCTTCTGTCAAAGTTTGCGAGTCTGTTTGTGCCGTTGGGCTTCCTCCTGCCGGAACTGCCACCGCTGTTGGTCGTTCTTCTCCTACCGTTGCTGGCTGCTGGCGGTGGACATCACGGTGGAAGGACCTTGTGCCTCCGCATCACTCCGCCGTTTCTCGTCTCCAGTTGCGGCCCTACCAGCAGCTTCACTTTCTGGTTTTTCTTGCTTACTGGGAGAGTCTTCTTGTGCTTCGGGTGTTGACTCCGCTGGTGCCGACAATTCGGGCAATTCGTTCCGTGCACGATTTGCTCCTGACTGCCCACCTGCTTCTTGAGGTTTCCCTCCCTTTGTGGATGCCGCAGCGCCGTTCTTCTCCAACGCATCACTCTCGTCGGTAATGGAGGGTGGGGAATTACCACCAGCAACAGGAGCGCTCAAAGATGCATCACCACCTGGACTGCCAACATCAGGTTGACTGCGACCACCAGAAGAAAAGGAGCCCCAAATGAAACCTTTGCTTCCGTCAGAACCTACACTTCCCGCAGGAGCCCCAGGAGAACTGCCACCATCACCGAGAACAGGAGATGGGGACTTGACATCCGAAGCAGGGGACTTCAAAGAGCCATCAACACGTGATTTAGAACCTCCATTTGAGCCACCACCACCGCCAACAGAAGCTTTGCTGCCACGAGCTTGACTGCCACTGGCACCTCCAACGCCACCAGGACCGCCAGCACCGTCGTTTCTACCGCCTCCACCTCCACCTCCGCGACCAGGAGGAGAACCGGCACCACCGAAATCAGCACCTGAATTCGGAGCCAAATCCGATTTATTTTCTGCTGTACCAGTGACCAATGGGTCAGTCGAAGCTGCAACGGCAGTGATGGACAAGACAGATCGTAAAGGCAGCGTCAGCGCCGTTTTGTCGCATCCGCTCGGCGTATACGATTTATTCGTATTCAACACCCACGACGCCATGCAGCCACCAACTGCGTTGTTCTCGAGATCACTCGCATCAGCCCCGCCGGCACCGCACCACAGCACGCAGAGGGCACACACCAGCAGCACACGGCCAGCCATCATCATCGCCATCACTCCTGTCACTTGCCTGCAGCCTTCAGCACAAAATAACAACACGTCAACGCAGAGAAAACAATGCGAGAGACACGGCCGCTACACCACGCAAAGCCACCGCACAGTCGCAAATGGCAGCAGCCCAGCAGCGGCAGCGCACACACACCATGAGGCAGTTGAAAGCAGTGAAGGGGCAAAAACACACAACGCCCCGCAGCAAGTAAGCAGAAAAACACACAAAACAATTAGAAACAAAACACAGGTAAACAAACAGCAATGAAGTTAAAAATGTAAACACACACAAAACAAAGGGCTGCACAGTATGGCTCCAGCACGTACGCACCCATCCTCAAATGCGACTCCACGCAATCAGTTGTGTGCGTGCCATGCACATGAGTGTGTCTGGGGTGCGTTCAACGTGACGGATGCGGGGAGCGGCAAGGAGCACACAGCAGGGCAGCGGAAGCAAGTGAAGCAAAACACAATCATTATTTTATCCTGTTTAGCACATCGGACCACAGTGGACGCACACAAGTCCCCGCGGTTGAGTGCTGGCACGCACAGCCCGCACACAAT